AATAATAATAATAATAATAATAATAATAATAATAATAATAATAATAATAATAATAATAATAATAATAATAATAATAATAATAATAATAATAGTAACGATAACAATAACAATAATAAATAAATAGAAATGACATCTTTCTGAACTTCTGGTAGTACCTTTTTTCCTCTGAAAATATTAAAACAGCAAGGGGCATCATGGAAGGTAGAGTCTAGTACAATTTAAGTATTCATTCATTTGACCTCCGTGGTGCAATTCAAAGTTGAGAATGCAGAGCTACCCTGCAGGTGACATATCCTGTCTCCATCACTTACTATTATAAGAGGTTTTCATCACTGTGACAGATTCTTGAGAAAATACAACTTAAGGGAGGATGTTTACTTTTGCTCATAGTTTCAGTCCATGGCAGTGGGGATAGGGGAACTGGGGGCAGGGGGCACATTTCAGCCAAGTCAGAAAACAGTAGGAAGGGAGGAAAGAAAGGAGGAACAGGACAGACAGGGCAGGGATAGATAGACTAGGGGTAGAGGGAGAGAGAATGAGAAAGAGAGATCTGTAAAATAGAAATACCACAGATCCTACCACACTACCTCACAGGGTGAGGATTCAATGACACAGGTAAGTACTCAAAAGTATTAAGTATACACACATACATACATGTACACACACAAACACATATACCCATATACACATGTAAACACACCACACATGAATATATACATTTACACACATGAATATACATACAAACATATACACACACATCACACACATGTATACACACATGTGCACATACACAGATATATTTGCACCAAATATATGGGTGCATTTGATAAAAGGTCTCTCATGTAGCCAAAGTTGTCTTCAAATTCCCCTGGCCTTGAACTTCTGATTCTCTTGGGCCTCTCCATCAGAGTGCTGAGATATAGACACCTGTCTACATGAATAATATATTACTCTATTTTTGTGTGTATATGAACTTTAAAAATCATTTGAAAATATTTTTGGTTTTGTTTTTCCTGAAAGGATGTCAGGAAAGAAAAAAACAAGGATAATACTCATATTTGATAAATAGTATCTCATTATATTCTGCAAAAAGTTCTACCAGGGTAAGAATCAGGGCATACTCTAAGTGTGGGGAAACAGACTTTTAGGAAGACTCAGGCATGCCCGAATAGACAATAGACATCAGACTCTAATTGTTCCTGTCTGCTTTTGTTGCCTGAAAGTCCAGGCAACTTTCCTGTTCTACTCAACTTCCTCATCCCCTAGGGAGGTAGGAATAATGCATGTTGACAAAGCACAGTGAGCCCCTCAAAGGCCGGGCTACATCTTCATCACCTCTCCAGCCCCAGTGTCTCTCAGGTGTAGCATGCATCAGTGCTCTGCCACTGTCTAGTGAAGGAATGAAGACACATACACCCCACACAGAGAGGGTGGCCACTGTTGTCTCTGTTGTTTAGCAAGACAGGGGGGTCTCTCTTACAGCCCAGAAAGAACCACACAGAGACGACCACTATATGAAACTACTTCACCAGTGTTGTCTCTGTTGTTTACTGACCACGGGGTCTCTCTCACAGCCCAGAAATAACTCATAATCAAGAACCTCCTATCTCCACCTGCCAAGTACTAAGATTTTAGCTGTCTGTCCCACGTATACTGCATTCACTCTCACTGTGTTCTTCTATGTCCTCTGATGTCCTGAGCTTTCGTTAATTAAAGGCATTGGTGGACCTCGCAAGTGCTGTGCAAACATCTGTCCTCCAGCCACATCATCAGCCCTGAGATTTACATAAAACATGTCCCATTCTTCTCAAACATGACTCTATATCTGCTAATGGCTTTGTCTCCAGAATGGCTGAACCAACCATATCTACCCATTTACATGTTTAAAAACACAACAGTTCAAGTGTTTCATTAAAATCAGTTGCTTTGGGTCTAATAAGCCATGTAATATAATTACCTAAAAGTATTACCCAAGGTAAATGTTTAGAGAAACCTGAAATGTTATTAGTACAAACATTTCATTTACCTAGCAATGTATGTCATGAGCTTGTTTATTTATTTATTTAAACATTGTGCTTAATAAAAGAGTTGGTTCTTTTTTCCAATGTTTAATTCATAGCAGCTGTTTTAAATATTTATGAAGTTTCCTGTCAGATATTGTGTGTGTGTGTGTGTGTGTGTGTGTGTGTGTGTGTGTGTGTGTGTGTGTGTGTTTTAAAAAACAAACCAGGTGGTTCAGTTCCTTGGCTGAGAAAAAACTGAAATTTCAGCAAGAATAAAGCCCCTTACTGTTGGAATAATGTATTTTTTAAAGAAATGAAATTTTTCCAAAATGCATAAGGTTCTCAGGGCTTCTATACACCATCAACTTGTGAGCTAGTTTTTTTTTAACTGTACCCTTCTTTTGTAGGCTGTGAAGTACAGCTTGTGGTGGGGGTATCTTAGGGACTTTAGTAGTAATGCTGAAGTTGAGTCTTTTCCTCACTAACCATTCCCACTTTCGATTCAAGTTGGAAATCAAGAGCAGAAAATGCTCACAAAGTCAGGGCCTAGCATGCTCCATCATCTAACTTGTTTGCACATTTGAAAACTAGGGGTGATAGTATCTAGCTCACAAAGATCACTCCAGAAATGAGTAGCAGTTACACAGCACCATTTCCAGATTATGACATGGACACAATGTACACAATAGAGCTAAGTTTGCAGATGGCTACACCTTGAGAGATATTGAATGTAATCTCCAAATGTAAGAGAAAAAAGTGAATCCACTGTGAGACCATAAAGAATTTACAAAGAATGCCCAATGCCACAGGACTAGCAGAGTGAATGAGAAATGAGGTCACCAGAGAGCAGCTCATTACATAAAATCTACTGTTTTATCTACAGGGGAAGGGAAGTATATCTACAGAATGGAACTCACGGCTCTGTCTGTTTAGACATCTGCTTCAACGTGGCACCAGCAAATATTCATTTCATCAACCGCGGTATAGACTTAATGGGAACGATACAACATGCCCACCCATAGAAGGCATTTCTGAACCCTGGTTATAGATATGGACAGGTACATGCAGATGAAAACCAAATGCAGAGATGATTAACAGCCACCCAAACTATGGTACTAATCACAGCAAAGGCACTTTCAAATATTTTATAGACTGAGTTCGAGTCAAGCAAAACTGACAAAGGTTTCCCAGGTAAGACTGAAACAGAAGAAGGTGGTGGTGCTGGTGGTGGCAGGGGCAGGGGTATGTGTGTCGGGGGGGGGGGGGTTTGGGTGGGGGGGGGGGGGGGTATTGCATAACTTGGGCACAATATGAACAAAATCGAGAAGGTAGTCAAACACGAATTAACTTGATAGAAAAAGTAATGACAGACCAAGTTCTGTTTCTAAAACCTTCAAACAGAGGTTACATTTTATTTCATTGTCGGGGGGGGGGGGGCAACCTAAAAATCAGTAACACCTCAATTTTGTTTAATTAGTATCCGCCCCCTGCCCACAGCTTCAAGGATTTTCATCTTCTGTGACAAGGACTATCACAAACTGAGAGTTTTATTCTTCCCAAGGAGAATCTGGGAGTGTGGATCATTGCTTTAAGATAAATCTTGAAAACTCCTTTACTTTCCCCATTAGGCACTCAAAACAGATCCCACAAAATTTATGAGAAAGCCTGGAAACAACCAGATGCCTATCACTAAGGGACTGCTTCTATAAATTATGATGCGGCCGGCCTCACAGTAGAGAAGTGTGCATCCAGAAAAAGAATTAGGAAGTATGTCTTGCATTATTATGTTAGGGTCTCCTATAGTTAAAATAAAATCAAAATGGAGAAACGTTGTTGAGCAGTAGTCTAATACGGATAGATAAAACAGTACCAAAATAAAAAGGGTCTCTGGGGCTAGGGAAATGGCTCTGGTTAAGAGCACTGGCTGTTCTTATAGAGGATGCAGATGTGTTCCCAGCATCCACATAATTTTTCATAGCCATCTGTGTCTCCAGATCTAGGGATCCAACATTCTCTTCTGACCTGTGTGGGCACCAGGCACACACATGGTGCACATCCATTCATGTATGCAAAACACTTGTCACATAAAAATATAAATATTTTAGAATTAAAAAAAAATGAAAAAGGACTCTGTAAAAGGAGGGCCTGAACAGGGGAGGTCTGTCAAAGGTAAAAGCTTAAACTTACTTTACTTTGATTTATATTTGCTTTCTGGGTCATATTAACTATTTGATACTCTTAAAGAATAAAATAATATTTCAAAAAAAGCAGCCTTTAAGAGTTGAGGATAAACCAAAGCAAATGAACCCAACCCGATATGCAGTTGGCAGTTTAACCACGCAGCAGAGAATAACCACCCTAAAAAGGCTACAGCTCAGTCAGTAACTTGACTGTATCAAGTCCCCTCTGTAATATATCCCAAGGATACAAAGGGATGGAGAAAAGCAACTTTAAAATCATTCGGAAGCGTTCACCCTGAGTATGGTCGCCATTGGCATTCAGAGACTGTTGCACGCTAATGTAGAATAAACAAGCAAGTATGTTTCTGACAGTGGAAGCGCTGTCACCTGCCCTCTCCTAAGAACTACACTTTTCAGCATGGAAGACAGAAGACGAAAATCTACATCTTCACTGAACAGGGCTCCCAAGTGAAAGTCAGCCCAGAGAATTGAACACTCCTAGTTTCCTGGCCATAGACGGACATCTCTACTTCTACTAAATGGAACCAGGGACACTTGAAAAAGAGACACTTTTAAGTCTTGAGCAGGAAATACACTAGATAAGCCCAGAGAGATTTTTCCCATGGTATCATTAAACATGTATGAACCCATGGGTTACGATGCTCTTTTTATAAACACACAGAGACACGAATTGGTCACTGATAACAGATGCCAAGAAAACAAAAACTAAATTTGAAAAGTTATATAGTTGGAAAAAGCAACCATCTTGATAATTGTTTTCTTTTTTTCTTTTTGGTTTTCCAAGACAGGTTTTCTCTGTGGCTTTGGAGCCTATCCTGGAACTAGCTCTTGTAGACCAGGCTGGTCTCGAACTCACAGAGATCCACCTGCCTCTGCCTCCCCAGTGCTGGGACTAAAGGCGTGTGCCACTAACGCCCTGTGATAATTGTTTTCTTAAAGGAAATGTCCAGCATAATAAATGAAAAAGAAGAAACTATTAGAATCTCATCCTTTTGGATCACTAACAAATTTATGGAGTCAGGTGTGGCTCTGAACAACAGCTTTAATTAGACAAAAAAAAAAAAAGATAGCCAGATAATCCCCAGTAGACAACACATGACAATATATCTAAAGTATGTAGACCAAATCAAGAAAAACAACCAGGAACTTAAATCCAATAGAACTAATGTCAACTAGTTTACAAATACACAGAAGATGCTAAACTAACTGTACTATGGGGACAAGAATGAGTCAGAGGGTTCGATCCACCTTGCATTGAATTACAAGGCTCTTTCAATAAACTTTGAACACACAGCTAGAAGATAGTACAACAGTTAAAGCACTTGCTCTACAATTGGGAGGCCCAGAGTTTGGATCCCTGGGTGTGAGCAAAAGTTGCCTGTATTCCAAGTCCCCAAAGGCAGAAGACAGGGAATCCTCCTGACAAGATGGCTAGCCGGGTTAGCTGCTTCAGCAAGCCCTGGGTTTGCTTTAAAGACCCTGTAGCAGGAATAAGTTGCAAACACTTGTACACATATGCGTGTGCCTACACATACAGGAGCATTCACATACATGTGCAACACACATATGCATGTGACAAGACAAACTTTGAAGAAGGGAGGGTGCATGGAATGACAAATGATGGGAGGGAGAGGAGAAGAAAGCAGTAAAACATGAGCGAGCCAAAGTAAATGGGAAACAGAGGACTGGAAGGGTGGGGGCGGTGAGGGAAAGATGGAGAGTCTAAGAGTCATATCAGCCAAATAAAATTTTATTTGGAGCCTGGCTCTCAAACTGCAGAAACAGTCATGATAATTGAGATACCATTTAAAGTCTGAATGCTGAGTATTTGAGATTAAAATTCCCAGTTTAAAGGTATTTTAAAGGTATAGTAGTGATCACAGGGGTGTGCAGGTTTTAAAGTTTCTGTTTTTGTTTTGTTTTTAGCAATATAAACCTTTACAGATGATAACCAAAATTCAGACATGTGTTTCAAAGTAACACACATAAGGAAACAGGACAGAGTTTATAGAGGGTTCTGGACCAGCCATGTTAGTGATGCTGAGGCTGAAAGGTAAGTACTTAGAAGTTCCTTACATTATTCTTTTTATCTTTTGCTTTAAAATGTATGAAAAAAAATTCAAGGTACTCCCAGCAAAGAGAACACCGTGTACAGAAGGCTCAGGTTCTAAATACCAATTGTTGCTGAAAGGAACCAGTTTCTTTAGGAAATGGCTGCTTTCAAGTCTAAGAGGGAGAAAATTACAAGGTGAGCCGGGAACAGCCTGTACTAGAGAACGGAGAGGAAAATGACAAGGAGGCCATGGTGAAACAGCATGAGAGCCAGCTGCAGGCCCCCTCTGTGCAAGGTGGCCAAGGCCGTGTGACTCTGACCATCAAAGACAAATGATGATATCTCTAAAATGTTTAATGAAAAAAGTCAGCAGGTCTATAGTGGCATGCAAAGCTGAAAAGAGAAGCAGAACTTCAAATACTGAGGAATGCTGCTGTCAATCAATGTAGAAGGGACTACAGGATTAGGAAATCAATGTTACCCAGCTGAATTGCTGTTCCAGAACAGGATAAAATGGAGACCAAACCACTGCACAGTAAGTTGTAAGATAGGATAGACCCAGTTCAAGAGAGGTACATTCACAGGATGAGAACTAGGGAGCATCCCTTAGCCAATGTGGCAGCGAAACTTCCATCATGGAGAGTGGCTTGTATCGCTTCAGAGGCATAGTGACTTGTTTGACTTGTGTCTAATCATGATGAAATGATCAGATAATTTTTTAATGCTATGAACTCTTTTAAAAATGTTTTTAGAAATATAAACAAAAAAAAAGAGGGAAAAACTCAATTTAAGCCACCCAGAAAGATAGAAAAACGAATGTAATGTATACAAATCTCAACAGGGCGTGAAGGAGGGAGAAGCCATGAGGAGAGTCTGTGACAATTGCCAAGGGTTTCATGATTGTCTGTTAAATGTTAACTCTGACTTTAGAATCTAAATCCTTAAGTCTTAAAACTGTACTTATTTTTATTTTATTTTTAATGTTATTTTTGTGTTTATATGGTGTTCTTCCTGCACATATGTCTGTGAACCTTACCACATGCATGTCTGATCATGCATGCCCACAGATACCAGAAGAGGGAATCAAATTCCCTGGAACTGGAGTTACATGATTGTAAACAGCTATGTAGGTACTGGGAATCGAACTCAGGCCCTCAAAGAGCAGCCAGTGCTCCTAATCACTGGAGCAATTTCTCCAGCTCCAAATCTGTTCTGAATGGTCTCAAAAAGTCTCAAATACCAACTTAGTATGTACAGTGTATATACAGACACAGAAAGAAAGGGTAGGAAAATATTAATAACTTGAATCAACTGTTGATGCCAATGTAATTCTTGCTATGATATGCTTTTAAATTGTCTGTGGCTTCTAAATTTTAAAATTCAAAGTTCATTCAAAAGACATTCTTTTAGAGACATCTGAATGTGTATTACATACAGGCAATGAGGCATCATTGACTCTGATCTTCTGCATCCTCTCCCTGCTGAGCTCTTTCTGACTGACAGCTTGCTCCGCAAATGACACCTCCAGATTGATGTCTGTTTCAGAGGCAGGCGCATCCTCAGGCACCCGTGGGGGGATCAGCTCCTTGTTATCAACAGCCCCACTTGATGCCTGGTCTAAGAGATAAAAAAAAAGACAATTCAACTGCATGCCTTTTATTTAAAAACCTTCTAATATATTAACAAGACCCATGGGAAGAGTATTTTTTACTCCAAGAAACAACTTACTGTTAATTTAATAATAAAATGTCTACTCAAGAAACTATACCAATGGTTCATGGTATAAAAGCTGGGAGGTGAAGGTGACTAGCAAACCAAGGTTCAACTGTGGATTCTTTGTGATCACAGTTTTTCGACTAGGTACAAATTCAAAAGCCTACTAAAAGGCATCACATACAGCAGAAATTCTCATAACATTAAAATCTCATAAGATGCAACCATTGTGTTCTTCTGCACTAAGGAACTAAATAAAATCAGAGCACAAGAGGCGAGCTTCATTGTAACCTCTGCCTAGAGCCCTTGCTTTAACTTCCTCAGAGTGGAACACATCCAGGGGCAGATGTCCTCCACACCCTGGAATGTTACCTATGTACCATGGTAAAAATTCCAAAATAAAAGCTGATGCCAACAACTTATCACTATGAAAGTCAGATCTGGAGGCCCCTGGTACAAGAACCAACAGGCTTCATACCCGAGTCTAGCAAAGAGCATAAAGGTCCTTTCTACTCTGGATATTTGCATCAACATTTCAAAACTTGGTTTTAGCTTTTTTCATTTTGTCTGCGGCTGGTCCTCTAGGAAATAATTAACACTGAAATTTTTTCTTTGACTAAGAACAACAGCTAGCAGGATGGAAGAAAATACTTCCAAATTTCCTTGGTGATTTTTTGGCTTTTGTGCGTCTCACTTTAGAAAAGCCCTGGCATGAACACTGGGGTTCAATGCTGATGCTTGAGATTCACAGTAAGAAGCTGTGAGCTGAAGAAGGAACAGACTGACACGGTAGTCCATGCCTCTGACTCCAGCACTTAGGAGGTAAGAAATCGGGAGTTCAAGGTCATTTTCAACTGCATAGTGAGCTTAAGGCCACAGGAGCTATGAGACCTGTCTCCAAAAGCAAAAATAGGGTTGGAGAGGTGGCTCAGAGGGTAAAGGTGTTGCCATACAAGCCTCACAACTTGAGTTCCATCCTTGGGTCCCACAGTGAAGGAAAGAAATAACTCATGAAAAGTTGTTCTCTGGCCTCCATGTATACATCATAGCATGTGCATGCCTACACATGCACATACACACACACACCCTCTATATACACACAATAACAGCAGACACATTTAAACAAATGAATAAATAAACTGATACCTGGGCACGGGCATTGTGCCTGCCTCCAATCCAAATAGTGAGTTAATTTCCTGACTGAGCAAAACCTTGTCTCAAAAAATAAAAACACAAAAGCAAAAACAGCGCTTTGTATGTTTGTCTACTAACATTGCACATTGTGAAACAAAATGACAAAAGATGAAGCTGGTTTTAAAAATCTAATCAGTACTTGCCAGATATCAGAGGTGGATTACTTAAAGCTTAATGCTTAGAAGTGTTTTTGTCATCACCATATTACAAACCTTTGTTTCAACCAAAATAAAGTTAATAATGGAATATGAATTTAGTCTCATTCATTCCCACTGAACAAGCAGTGAGCTCCACGGGCATGTGGCCATGCAGTCATATGGCGCTCAAAAGGGTCTCGTCTTTGTTTAGTGCTTCTCTATAGCCAAATTGCAACCTACATAAAGCCTAGATTTTCGGTGTGAGTCAGCCCAGCTGGCTCTCAGACAATCGCTTTCAGTTCGACAAGCAAGCAAGCATGTACCTGTGTTAAACCCCTAAATAACAATGAACTGAAGGCTCCATGATGGTATTGTCTGCTCCCATCTATGTTAGATGAGTGTTTTTCAACAGTCTCTGACAATTTTAAGTAGAATACTTAATAACTTTTATGATTAATTTTTAAATCATTATCATAAATGTCAAAACAAAAAATTAATTTTATTTCCCCATTAGTTTATATGGTTATATGTTTTGCTGTGAATACATTATCGGTTTCCTAGGAAACAATTCAGTGAGAAAAGAAATGATTAGCCATTTTTTGTAAATTAGAAGCTACTTTCAGCTGCTGGATGTTGGTGGACAAGAATTCAAAAAACGATTCTCCTCAGTGCTTCTATGTCAGTTACAATAATCACACTGTCCTCGCGTATAATATGCTGTGCTGAATTCAAAATGGAGCCATTCAGAACACATTTAAAACAAATTGATTTCCTCCAGAAAACATGGCAACAAGAACAAAAAAATACGAAACACACAAACTCAGTTCAAATGTGAAGTGAAGTTCAGGCAGGGAGGAGAGAAAAATGTGTGTGTGTGTGTGTGTGTGTGTGTGTGTGTGTGTGTGAGTGAGTGAGTGTGTGTGTGTGTGTGGTGGAGGGGGGAATGGACACTGCTAAGAGACAGACAGTAAACTAGGTAAGAGGAATGATGGACCATCATTCCCACACAGAAGTTAAAGGAAAATATTGAGACAAATTCCTTGCTTGTTAAGTCCACAAGTGCTATTTGATTCCTTCTGTGTGTGTGTGTCCTCATGCACACATACATGTACATGTGCATGTGTGTGTGTGCTTGTTAATTTGTGCAAGTGGACTCACAGATATGTACACATGTATGCAGAGGTCGGAGGAAAACCTCAGATGCCAATCGTCTAGCATTGTCCACTTTACTCTTGAGACAAGTGGCCTAGGGCCATTGGCAGAGAGCTCAACAAGTACGCTAATCGGACTAGGCAGCAAACCTAGGAATCCATCTGTTTAAACTTCCCCAGTGCTGGGATAACAAATAGTTTTGCATGTGGCTTTTTCACATAGGTTCGGGAATCATACCCAAGTCCTCATATGCTTACAAGGCAAGCATTTAACTTGCAAGCACTAAAATTGTCCAGTTGTCCAAAATATACAGAAACAACTTTATTTTAAAAATATTTTTCCTCAACAGATGAAAGCAGATGCAGAAATCCACAACTAACCATTGGGCCGAATTCCTGGAGTACAATCAAAGTGAGGGAGGAGAAATAATTTGAACAAAGGAGTCAAGACCATGATGGGGAAACCCACGGAATCAGCTGATCGGAGCTAGGGAGAGGTCACGGACCCCAGTTTGACAAATGGGAAAGCTGCATAAGACTGTACTAGATTCCCTTAATACAGGTGACAATGGTGCAGTTGGGGCAATATATTCGGCCACTGGCAGTGGGTCCAAGTTCTAACTCTAATGCACAAACTGACTTAGTGGAGCCCATTCTCTGTGGAGAGATACCTTGCTCAGTCTAGACACAGGGGTTGGGGGAGCCTTGGTCCTGCCTCAATGAAACTTAGTAAACTTCCTGGGGAAGGCCTTACCCTCTCCAAGGAGCTGGGGTGGAGGGAAGTGGAGAGAGCTGGAGGGGAGGAAGGAGGGGGACCTGGGATTGGAATGTAAAAAATAAATTAATAAATTAAATAAAAGAGTACCTCTGCACAGTTTTCTAGGATTCTGTAAACCATTTAAGAACTGCTGATTACACATAAAGGATAAAAATAGTGGAAAAAAGTATTTCTCCTCTCTCATGGACACCAAAACTAAAAATATACAAATCACTATGAAAATTTTAAATTATTAACATATTATTAATATTTCTAAGTAAATATAAATACTGGGCCTTTCAAAGAGTTGTATAATTTTATGAAAAATGAAGACAGTGGGTTAGTGTGAAATGTATCAATACTTTCAATATTTAAAGTCTATTACGTTTTAGTTTGAAATTGTTTTTAAAGATCTTTTTTATTTTATTTTATTTGTATTACTGTTTAGTATACATGTCTCTGTATTACATGCATGCAGTGGCCTGAGGAGGGTGTTAAATTCCCTGAACTGATGGTACAGATGGTTAGGAGCTGCATTGTGGGTATTGGGAACAGAACCAGGGTGCTCCTAACTGCTGAGCCATCTCTCCTGCCCCTCCCAAAAAAACTCAAGTATGGGGAAAACATTTAGATTAAACTGACACTCATGTTTTGAGATTGTAATCACAACCAGCCTCCCTTTACAAACTTCAGATAATGTTTCCATGCATATACAACACGCCTAAGCTTGATTGTCAATTTAAGACACTTGGGAAGAGGGAATCTGAAAGGAGAAAGTGCCTCCATCAGATTGGCCTATGGGCATGTCTGTGGGGCATTTCCAAGATTGCTAATTGATGGAGCGGGATTCATCCTACTGTTGGCAGTGCAATCACTTGGCAGATGTGAGAAACATAGCTTCGCATGAACTAGGAGCAAGCCAATAAGCACCACCCCGCTATGGCCTCGGAGTTCCTGCCTTGGCTTCCCTGGATGAAGGGCTGTAACCTGTAAGGCAGTTCAACTCTTTCCTCCCTCAAGCTGCTTTTGATTAGTGTTTTATCACAGCCTCTACAACAGTAAAACGAAAACTATTGTAATCTATTTCTGAACTTTCCAGGGTGTTCAAATCACCATTAGTTCACTGATAAGCAAAAGGTTAGGGAATCCCCAAGAAACAGGTGTAGCAGCAGCAGCTACCTGGTCACTTGACTGGCTATCCGCAGTCTCCTGGTATTCTGCCCGACAGCTTGATTCCTACTGCTCAGCCTTCCAGCAGAAACAGATGTAAATCAGGTCACAAGTTTGTCACATCTCCCTTGCCTACTGTAAGCTCAGCCTGAAAGTGCTCATATAATGGACTTGTCACACAGAACCTTTGTTGATATAGCCAACATTATGAGCTCGGGCAAGAGAGGAAAACATGAAGAAAGGACAATGTTTTCCTCAATATCTGTTAAACAACTGGCAGTCACTCTTCCCCAAAGCCCAAAGCATATTGACACTGGCACAAAAGAGTCGTCTGTCTCTCTGAGGACCCAGCTCTCCAGCAGGCTAGGGCTGGCACAGCCAGCCTGCTTGCCACTTCAGTGTCTGCTGGCACACTGACAGGGGGAAATACCCAACAGTTCATTCTGATACAACACATGTAGCTACAGAGGCCTCCACAGAAGAAAAAGAAACATGATTTATAGTGTGTGTGTGTGTGTGTGTGTGTGTGTGTGTGTGTGTGTGTGTGTGTGTGCAGGTGCACTCAATCTCATGATGTTCATTTGTGTATTGCATGCCTTCATATTTTTAATTAGGGGTGCAAAAGAGAAGTATTAAGAAAATCCTGACAAAACAAAGATGATATATGCCCTCGGATTTCTGAAACCTCCCATACACCCTTGTCCTAATGAGTGATTTCTAGAGGAAGCCTGGAAATGCGTCCCAGCCCTCTAGTTTATCTGACAGCCACTCCCTGACTCTGCTACTTCGAAGCCCAAGGCAACACTACCATGCACAGACGCCTCAGTCACTAAGGCTTGAGAACATAATAAACACCCAGTTCATCTATGTCAGTGTTTCTTAAGTAACTAGAGGATTAATGTTTTTAAGCTTCAATCTAGGACCGTAGCTATGGACATTAACCTTTTTGTTGGTGATGCTTAATAGAATCTTCCCATTCATTTTCTTCTAGACACTGAATTTCTAACGCATCCCTGAAATAAATGCTTATTGTGAAAATGCATGAGAAAGAGAATTATAATCAATTTTAAAAGAAATCTTTTTTTCTTAAAGGTTTCTCCAAAATTCCTGAAAATGAAACCATTTATTGATTTGGAGCTTATGATTCATGAGCAAGACACTAACTCCAAGTCTAACCCTGAGTTCTCTCATCTGTAAAACACATTGAGAGCAGTACCTTCCAGGTAGAATTCTTAATTGCTGTGAATGAAGCAGTGCACACTATTTTGGATATGATAAAAAGTCAGGAAGATGTATATATAATTTGGATCAGATGGAAATACACATAAAAATGATAAAGGGACAACCATATGCTCAGAACCATGCATTTATCGATGTTGACCTTACACTGGCATTTTAATAGGAGTTGCTTAGTAGAATGGAGGCAATGTGTTAGAGTTACAGCTGTTTACTAGAGTAATTAAAGGGGCCAATCAAGAGCACAGGTCCCACATACCATCTTTTCCTTGGCATTTGTTTTCCTTCGTTCTGGCTGACGGTGATTCTGAGCCACCTGGAGACTAAACACAGAGAAGGAGCCACTTAGTCCTTCCAACTCATAACTAGAGAAAATGCTGTCGTAAATAACCCCATTATAACCTTCAGAGAACAAGAAATGTACTCAGACTCATACAAGTCACAGTGAGGGAACAAAGTGCCACGGTTATAATCGATAGACAATCATCCAGCAAGTGTGCGATTCCTCATAACAGTGAGACATATACCAAGCACAATTGGGAACACTGAAGTTATCAAGAATGTCCCTGTCCTCTGAAACAGCACTATCTAGATGAAGGGGAAATGTGAGCAACATCCAGTGATAAATGGCTGTGTGTGGTTTACTCACACCATGACATAGTATTCAGCAACAATAATAAAAGAAAATAAAGTCCAAAATCATACTTCAACATGAATAAACTCTGAAAATATTATGCTATATCAAAGGAATAGTCACAAAGAGCCATATATGTTATGATTCCATGTATAGGAAAAAGTCTAGAACAGGCAAATCACACAGACCTAAAGATCCATGTTTGCCTGAGTATTCAGGAGAATATAAGAAGTAATTGCTGATGGATATGAGGTTTTTATGGGGAGCATAATAAAAATGTGTTATAGTTGATTATGATGATAGAGAAATCACTGGATTATACACCTCTTTTGTTACTGGTTTTAAAACATTTTTATAAACTCACACATGCATGTATTTTGACCATATTCAATACCCCTATGACCTCTTATTCCCTCTCACTCTCATGGGACCCCTTCTTGACCCAAACAAATGCCCTCCTACTTTTGTGTCTTTTGGGTGGGGGGTGACCTACAAAGTTTTATTAGGGTCTCTTGCATAAGCATGGATGCAGACTTATTTACTGGACCAAGGGCTGCTTACCGGTAACTACAGCAGTGAAGTAAATGACTCCATATATTTTTCTTGGTTGTTGATACAGTTTTTCACTCTGTCACCAGGCCAGCATCACACAAAACAATCATCTCAGATTGAGTGTTAGCTTTAATCAGGTGATCATACAATATGTGAATTTCATCTCAACAGTTCCATCATCCAACAAAAGCACTAGCTCACACAGGTGAAGTAAAAGTCCTTAATAATAAAGAAGCATCCAGCCTGGTGGTGGCTCATGCCTGGGATTCCAGCACTCTGGAGACTTCGGTAGTCAGATTCTTGTGAGTTTGAGACCAGGTTCAGTGATATAATGTGCTCAAGGCTAGGATGGACTTTGGAGTGAGACCTTGTCAACAGATAGATGATAGATAGATAGATAGATAGATAGATAGATAGATAGATAGATAGATGTATAGATAGATAGGTGGATAGATGGCAATCTTAAAGTTGAGATAGCTCAAGGACTAATACATGTGTCATACAAGCATGAAGCCTTAAGTCTACACCTCAACATTCATGTGAATACCTGGACGGGCATCTGGTAGGGACAGGTGGATTCCTAAAGCTTTCTGGCCAGCCACTGTAGCTAAATTGGCTAGCACTGGGTTCACTGAAGGAGCCTACCTCAAGAACAACAAAAAAAAGTATGGTGAAGAGTTACTGGGGAAGACACTCAATGTTGACCTCTGACCTCCCTACACGTGTGCACATACCCTTATGCATTATTATGCACACACAAAGTAAGTAGTTTAAAGAAGAAATGTGAGATAAATTAAAACTAATTGCCACACTGGCAATAGACATGGATATTTTGAAAAGAATTATTTTCTTTCTATTAAGGGATTGGTGTCATGAGCCATGACACCTACCAGAAGGTTCTTCAGGGGTTGATGAACATGGTGAGCCAGGACTGACTCCACCCATGCCTGTAGTCAGACAGCAACTCTTTCTTTCCAGATAGGGCTCTAGGAGGGTTGGGCAAGGGAGTCTCAGCCAACCATGCAAAGAGGCCTATTTGAAGGCATTATTTTTGATAATCACTCTAATGGATTCTATCTCTACATGCAAATATATATATATCCCTCTCAACACAATTAACCACAAAGGACCCTTCTTCCCTTACCCACAGTTTTACAGTTTTACAAAAATCTCCAGGGCTCATGTCAATAAGTCATTAACATATGAGTTAGAGCCCTATAGGACTCAAGACATTGAAAGGTGAAAAAAAGATGCAGAAGTGACACATGGCATGTTCAAAGGTGTACCTTAGTTGACTGTGATACAACATTCTCCTTCCCTCTGCCTATAAGACCACAGAGGATCAGCCTTCCACAGCACAATGAACACAGCCAGGGATTCTAATTTCACATATGGATATACATTTGGAGTATGTGGTCAGACTGTTTTTGTTAGTAATTGAAGATAGGCACACTGATGGATACATTCAGGCATTAAATTTCCTGGTGTCAGCATGAGCTTCATGCTTAAGTATAGACACCAAAAAAAGCTGAATACACTTTTATCCCAGAACAGAGGAGCCACAAACAAAGATGGATGCTTAAGGGATGTGGCATGGAAAATCATCTTCTAAAAGGTGGTGGTATTTCAATTAAAGGTATCCAGCAAAGGAAAACACTTTCTTAATTTGCTTGTGTTATTTCTCTCTTAATGAGACCAGCAGATAATAAAAGCTACCAATTACTTTAGATTCTAAATCACATGGGTTAGACTTTTCCAGAAATTTGCTGAAAAAAAAATGTTTCTTCTAGCATCAAGTAACAACACTATCCTCAAGACTGGCAGGAATCCCACACCATATATTTACTAAGGCTCAGCTTGCTGACCAATCCTGTTTTTCACTTCCTCTGAGTTTTCTAGATGGGCAAGGCCAGAGAAGAAGTGATGCTTTTTAATTAGGAAGGAAATGTCACATTGCATAATACCATCCATTTTTCGATAATGGAAACCAAGTCGATGTCCCAAATAACCACTGACTAGCAAGTAAGCAACTTATACAAGTGCCTGGAGCAATTTGGTGACCCTGAATTCCTGTAAATGGGCTGAGTTTGATCCACAGTTGGTCATACAAGCAGAATAATAGTCTGTCACTGGAAGGACTTTTGCAGAAAACAAAATGATTGCAAAAAGTAAAGGGTCTCTACATAACAACCTAAAAAAATGTCTTAAACATAAGCTCTCCAATTCTACTTTTTATGAAGAATCATGAAAATTTTATTGCCCTTTGCTTATACTATAAATGGATTCTCAAATCCAGACTGCTTAGCATAAGAGTCATGTTTGGAAGTGGAAATACAGTAGGAGAGAGAGACCACTTTAAAGTCAGACAAGATTGGGTTTAGCATCTACGGGACATTGAGCAAGTTACTTAAAGTCTATGAACCTGAGCCATAGGATGGAAATGATAACACCTCACTCATAGACAGCTGTGTGGATTCAATGAGATAAAGCAGGTGAAGCAGTTAGCTCAGTAGCTGTGGCAGCAATTGCTGCTGCTAATGTTGTCATTAGAACCATTACTCAAGAATCCTTTTGTTACCCTCCCAATGACTTCACTGAATTTTCTAAACCAGAGCTGATGGGGCCAGAAGGCAAATTTTCTGTGCTCCTAAAAACACCATTTAGTTCAGCTGATTTTTCCCTGTTGGGAGCAAGACTTCGTAAGTACGATCATTTCAATTCAATACAAAGCAACGAATGACCTATCAACCAGTCATTCTGCACAGCACCGTTCAGAGCCACACAGATCTACTACTTCTTCCCTCTCCCTAAAATCTCTTCATTTACCAGTCTTCTGTTTCCACCTGAATCCAGCATATTCCACACAAACACTAACCATCTGGGTTTGTGTTAACTCAAATCTATAGGTCATGCTAGGTGCCTAGAGTTCGACACAAAGAGGAGAGTCCGTCACATCTCAAGGTGCCAACTTCATTCCTAGTTCATGCGCCATGGTTTCCTCACACTCCACTTGCACTCATCCTTGAGGGGGTTGAAAATTCAAAGCTTTCTTCTAACAATAATAGATAAGGAGCATGCGGTGGTGGTTCACGCCTTTATTTCAGCACTCAGGAGGCAGAGGGATCTCTGAGTTAGAGGCCAGCTTGGTCTACAGAATGAGTTCCGGGACAACCAGGGTTACACAGAGAAACACTGTCTTGAAAAACAAAAACAAACAAACAAAAAGATGAGGAATAACCCCCCCATCTCACCCTCCCACCCCGCCTCCAACTTCTCTATCACAAACAAGTGGCAGGCAGGCAGTGTAGAAGGCCTTCACCACTCTGTCACACCCAGTGGTGTGACAGGCACATCTTAATGCTCCCAGGACTCCATCCCACCTAGCAGAGGATCATCACACTGAATTTGAACTTGCTTATTTGTCTCACTGGGGTAACTTCTAAAGGTGTGACAGGCACATTTTAATGCTCCCAGGACTCCATCCCACCTAGCAGAGGATTATCACACTGAATTTGAACTTGCTTATTTGTCTCACTGGGGTAACTTCTAAATCGGCCAAACTGAAGACTATTGACTCACTGCCAATACAGTGTTTGGACACTGGGTAGAGAATAGGTGCTTATTGAGTTTGAAATGATCTGAAAGAAACTGGATTGGTCCAGAAGAGTCTAAGCATTTCATCCTTTGCCTTCATATCAGTAAGGAATCTTACTTTTTCTTGTGCTTCTCTCTGTTGAGCAAATATGTCTCTGACGTCAGGAATGTGGTGCTGTTTGTTTTTCTTCCTCAAGGTCTGGGAGACCGTTTCTACCCGTTTCTGAACGGCTGCCGCTTGAGTCCGGGTCAGTGTGGCTAAAAACGCAATGCTTTCTTGGGGGTCATCAGGAGATTCTCCAAAGAGATTGGACAAGCCAGCCTCCTTGAGCCACTCTTCTTCCAGCTCTCCCTCTAAAAGAGTTTTGAAAAGGAAAAAGATCATTTTGAAATCACAAAGTATAAAAATGTTCATGTTTGTAGACACCCAGAAACCCTGACTGAAATGTTCTTATTATAACTGTGCCGGTATCTGAAACTTGGACAACTGCCATCCACTCTGGCCATAGAGATAGCAAATTTTGGGTCAATTTCATATATACTTAATTAAAAAATTTTAAATTGCTTCACATGTAATTAACCTCCACCACTTTCTGCATATTAACTAAGGAGGGTGGTACAGTGCTCCTTCTTAGAGGCAAGCGAGCCATAAAGAGATAACTTGCTCCAGCGCGTGGCACAAGAAGTTGGTGCTGAGAGCCCACATGCAGGCGTAGTTTCTTGGCTTAAATTCAAGGCTATCTGGGAGTCCAACACTACTCTCAAAAAGGGTTTGTTTTCTCAGTTCTCTGTAGCTGAGGAGGCACATGGTAAGGTATGGGGGGGAGGAATATCTGGGCATTGGGGAACTATTCAATTTCAAGTTCAATTTTCTACTTTTTTTCTCAAAAGAGTACATCAGATAATATAGATAGTATTTTTAAAAGCACATTACTTTCAGTAACAACAATGACAAAAAGTTTGTATGAAAACGAATTAGATGACTGATCAATTGGAAACACAGAAAGTAGGAATTCGGCTGTAGTTCCTTCTACATCTGTGGTCACTGCATCTGAATATCCAACTAATCTGGATTGCTAAAAAGCAAATGAGTCTAAACTGAACATAGGTATGAACAATTTTCTCCTTTTCTACTTCTGACCCCACCCCACCCCACCGTCTAGGCAGAGTTTCTATGTGTAGCCCTAGCAGTCCTGGAATAAGTTCTGTAGACCAGGTTGGCCTTGAACTCACAGAGATCCACCTGCCCAGTGGACATAAGTACACAGGAGTATGTAAATATATTTACAAAAATTCTATGCCTTTATAAAAGACATTTCAGTGTCTATCTGTGGATTTTTGGTGTGGTGCAAATCCTGGAACCAATCATTCCTAGACACCAAGGGATGCTGTATTTTAAGACCTAATGAAGCTTGTAGAAAAACAGATGGAAAACTAGAATAGAGTCACTTCAAGCACCATGTTTATAGAGAGAAATAAAAAAGTAATGACAGGTCACAAAAGACACAAAAGAGTCTGTCACCCATTTCAGAAGCTTGACAACCATGTCATTTTGAACCAGTCAGCCTAAAGCTAATTCTGCTTTTTCCTCTATAAACTAAATGAGGGCCACCAGAGGTACTTCATGACTAAAGGTCAGGACACTGTGCAAATATTATCATCTGTATCACTAGTGAATGCTTTCTGTCTTTCGACACCACAGCAACTCCTTGAGTGTAGCAATCAAGTGTCAATAGCTCTGGCCACAAGAAAAACAACCAGCCATTGTCATTACTGCTGAATAGATAAGACACACTACAGGTGTATAAAACCAGAGAGAATTATGCCCATTGTTCTGCCTCATCTGTGAATTCAATTTAACTTTGGACATTTCTCAAATAGCCACAGGCACATTCCTACACCTAAGACTTAAATGTGGTTTTCCCTAGCATATTGTTTCCTACCAAGTGACTGGTGAGTTACTTGTGTCTTGAAACACAGACTGAAAGATGGAATTTTTTAATTATTACAAATAAGAGAGGTTTTGGTCATAATGTATTTAGAAAAGAATGGGAGAGAAATAAATGAGAAATCAGATTAGGTGACTGCGACTTTCTTTTATCAATCTGAAATATATTAAATTGAGAAAAGTCCCCAAACCTGGTACAGTGACAAACACCTATGATCTCAGCTCTTAGAAGACTGATGCAGAAGAATTACAAGTTTAAGATAATCCTGGTCTACATAGTGAGACCCTATTCAAGAAGAGCACTGAAGTCAGGCCCCACACTACTATTGGTCAGTATTTTTAAAACAACATTGTAGCAATGTTACTTAACTGAGTAGTTCAATAGACACTAAGTTAAGGATGTCTGTACTACTGGATCACAGAACTGATTGTGATTTTATCTTTTTAGCATTTATATATCCACTGGTATACCAAAATATACATACAAGATTATGGATAGCATAGAAAGAAAGTCACAGTTTTAATGACAAAATCTGACATCACAAATATGGTGACTTCTTTAATTATGAAATATTAAAGGAATTCAAAAAATTAAGAAAAATATTTTAAAAGTATTGCATGTTTTCTCCAGAATACCAAGTATAATCGTGAATTGTATATAAAATACTAATGTAAGAAAAAAAAAGTGTTAAATACTGGAAAGAAGCAACTAAGTGAGCTGAAATGCTAATGCTGTCTTCTACCACCCAAATTTGAACCCTTCCATTGGCAAGCATGCTGTGTTGCTTTCAATCTAGATGCTGTGCTGATTGATACAGGACCAGCTCTACTAGAGGTCTAAAACCCAACCACATGAGTTGCTCATGTACATGTGCAATGTAGAAATGTATTATCTAGAAACAAGGTGAATACCCTCAAATGCTCAAAAGATGACCATATATGGGAAAATAGAATGAACTTATTTGTTCTTCAAAGCAGAAAGAACTACACCAGCTAAGTCTAAGTTAGAAGGAAACAGACTGCAAACCAAACATAGTTCTAACAAACCCAGCTACTTAAAAAATGGAAAAACAGAATCCCTGCAAAGTGGGGAGCTTGCCATCACCATCCACACTTCTTGGAGACCAAATAGCCATGATGCTAGTATGTTATGGAAGGAATTATAAGTCAGTATGGGTGACTTTAAACAGCAAGTCTAAACTCATTGAATCTCTAACAGAATGCTTAGCCATCATTGTAAAGTAAGTTTACTCACAATACTTATACCTGGTATCTGGACTTATATCTCTTGGAGTCTAAACATCCATTTTCTACTAATATATACACGTTTTGTTCACTTAGTCATTACCATCAGGCTCTTTGACAACAACGGCCTCTTGACTTTCTTGGCGATTTTCATTAGACCTCTTGATGTTTTCTAGTTCCGTCCAATAGTCTTCCATCAAAACGTCATCCAAAGAATCCTGGGAACTTGATCGATTAAAGGGAGGCCTCTCTGTAACTTTGGTGGAGTTTTCTTGGATTATGGTGTACTGGCCATATCTGGGACTAAAATATAGAACAAACATGGTTCATTGTATTGTGAGAAACTAGCACCATTGCCAAAACACCACAACACTGAACTGGGAAACCTGGAAACTACTTGAGTTCACCCTTGTTTCGCTAACTCAGGTGTATTGTGGTCAGTAACATGAAAAGGGAAACAGTTTGATGATTCATCTGAGTTTTAGGTTGTACAGAGAAGAATGAGAAACAGTAAGAAGGAACCATTAACTTACCCTTTCACGTACATTCATCGAAACCTGAAAATTCATATTTAGAAAGCAATAGAGTGAACCTAAATTATTGGCTATTCACAAATAAATTGGGAACAAATCTTATATAATGCACAATTTTATCAAATACATGTATATACCAAACTCAATCAATGTATAGCCAATCACTCCCACCAGTGAACAAAGTGAATTTCAATTTCTATCTTATTTTTGATGCTGAAATATCATCAAAAGTTAATTTGTGGAATTTTCTGTTCTACTCTACTGAGGAAAGCACTTTTAAAACTTATAAATGGATTTGTGACTTATGCATTAATTTCTAACATGGCTAAACACTCATTTACTGGAAATTCTGAATAACTTGAGATTGCCTCAGATATTTCCTGTTATTTATGGAGAAAAAGATAAACTGAATGAGACTTATTTTTATTACCTTTATTTATTATGGGCAGGAGATGGCTCATGCGTCATGGAGAGTTGTGTGAAAGTCAGAGGACAGCTTGGGAGAATCAGTTCTGTTTTTCCAAGTTGTAGATCCCAGGAAGTGAACTCTGGTCAGAGGCTTGGCAGCAAGTGCCTTTACCCGCTGACTGCCTTATCAACCCTCGAATGAATTTTTATGACTTCAAGAAAACTAGTTTTCATGATACTCACATCCCACCTACTTCTGAAATTGAATTATGAGACTATGCAGTAAAAACCCTATATAAAATAGAAATTTTATTTATTATTTACGAATAGAAAGAAAACAGCACTTAAGTACCTCGAAGAGGGACATTTTCATCTCTGCTGTCTTTGCTTTATATAAAATATTTTTCTTTTTAAAGAGTACAATTTGAATGGGGATGATAATTGGTAGAAGAGTTATATTATACTAATTTCAAATTTTTTTTTATCTCCCAAAGACTACTAAGAAGCAATATTTGCTAGACCAGTTTTAATTCCTGTACATACTGAAAATAAAGAAAAAGATAATATAAAATTTAATATTCTACAAGTGAGATTCTCATATTTAAACTGGTCTTTCTGGTATTTAAGAGAGTAGGATCTTAACAGATGGTTTGGTAAAACAAGAAAAGGCAAAGAACTCGTGAAGGAATGGAGCAAAACTGAGCACTTAGCTGTGATGGGTTACTAGGCAAGTTTTATTCATTCAGGGCAGTTGTTTAGATCTTAATTAAGTCCTTGATTAATGTTGCTTGTGAGAATCAAAAGAAACATCACTAAAATCTCTCCTTGGTAGAGGGTATGGTACCCTACACCCTAGTACTCTCAATACTCAGGAGACTAAGCCAGGAGGATTGCATATTCAGGGCTGCCTTGGGTCACAGAGTGAGATTCTCTACCCCACAAATAATACCTATTTTCCCATCAGCAACCTTGGAGTGATGGCGGGTGGACTTCGGGAGCAGGGTTAACAACAGGAAGTGGACAGAATGCTTATGTATCTCTTTCATCTAGTCTCCATCGTCCATTGTCGGCCTCCTCCATCCTTAACTCAAGGCTATTCCTCCCTTCCAGCCCCACTCATCCTGGTTTTGTCACTGTATGTGTAACTTCCAAGCCAGGTGACTGGCCCCGTTACCACTGTATAGTCACAATGGTCACTGTAGAATTTCCAGTCTTAATTTGTAAGCCATTCATAAAAAATCAGTTCCTCATAATTGTTTCCATTTCCAGGGTCAGAAGATTCATTCACCTGTTAGCACTGTATAGTCACAATGGTCACTGTAGAATTTCCAGTCTTGATTTGTAAGCCATTCATAAAAAGTCAGTTCCTCATAATTGTTTCCATTTCCAGGGTCAGAAGATTCATTCACCTGTGTGTGGTCTGCCTCCTTACTCAGCCTGTCTGGATAGCCAAAGCGGAGTCACTGTGTTCCCCACACATTTTTGCTGTGGTTTCTTTCATGTTAACTATGCAGGCATCAAGCCTTTGCTTTTGTTTTCTCCCTCATTAGAGTATAAAATTGGCTTCCATTTTCTTCCTTTCTACCTCTAGCTCTATGGCCCCTGTTGAAGACCACAATGAGTCCTGTGAACTGTGAGAAGTATAATAACTAATAACACCAAATAATTTGGTTTATCTGCACACAGTAAAGTAGAGCAGCTGAATAGAAGAACATTAAGCCTTTCAGTCCTGCAGGAATGTGTTTATTCTGGCAAGAAATTCCCAGTAAATTTCCATTAAGATAGCATGTGCAGAAAAATTTGAGGGCACGGAGTTACAGCCTAGTTACATAAACAGATCTTCTTTGTCAAGCCCTGCCTTCAAAACATGCACACAGCACCCATCTTATACCTCAGTGCTGATGACATGACTCAATAGTGTGACTTTGCTAGGGTTTGGGTGCTGAATCTACTCGTGATAACTTGAAAAATGACTAAATCATGGGCCTTTTCCACTTTTTTTTCTTTTTCTTTTACTTTTGTATCACTGGTAAGTATTCTTGGACCATATTTTCCGTTTTAAATATTAGGGTGAAGAATGGGAAGCAGCAAATGTTCAGTAATAAACTAGTGTTTGGTGAATTCTGTCAACCTAGTTTTTATTTTCTTTTAATCCAAACATTTCAAGTGAGGTCAGTTTAGTATGCTCTACCACTGCTTTTCCTTTGCAAACGTCCGTAACTTTTATACTTCAGGCAAGCAAGAGATAAAAATCTAGAACCTTCCTAAAACTGCCCTGGTAAGTGGCCAGCTACCCGATTTCCTCCTTTTGATTTTGAAGACTATGTCTTTTTTATTAACACTCATTCTGAAAATTGAGTTCAGAATCCTAAAGCACCATCTGCCCCGTGTAATGAAGTAGAGCTGAAAGAGAATTCATTTCCACACCATCTCAGCCAGCACATGGTGCTAAAATCAAGGAAACAGAGACTAAACCACAGGTAGCTAGCAACTGCCCCTCAGGACCTGCTGTCAAATCACTATCCAAGTTCTTCTCTCTCCCTCCAGCAGCCTCTGTGCTGGTCATCCGAGAGCTAGGCTTCAAGCAGTCCTGCATCTCTCAACTGCAGCAACTATAACAACCAAACTGAAAATGCTTCTCTCAGAGAAGTTGTCTGCCAGTTGCTCCCAGCCTTGCTCTGCATACATCATGCCCTTTCTAATACACATGTTGTCCCTTTGCCTTTTTGCATGGCCACCAAAACCACCAAGAAACACATACTTCATCGACTCTTAAGGGCCTTCCTGGAATGTTATTTTTTCCACCTTGCTACCATGTCTTCTAAGCTTATAAAGATAATTGGACCTTTATTTTACTGTATTTTTCCTAGGTATAACTTAATCTCATTTTGCTATAATAATTTTTCCAGCTGCCAGAACATTTAAAAGATATCCATACTCTTCATGGTGTTAGAGATGCCTGCTTTGCTTACATTTTTGTTCTTTTTGAGATAAGAGTCTTGGGATGTAGCCCTGACTGGCCTTATACTCACTCTGAAGACCACACTGTCCTTGAACTTGCCATCAATCCTCTGGCCTCCCAAGTGCTGAGATTCCAGGCATGTGCCACCACACCCAGTCTGTTATTTCTTTTGTCAAAACAAAACTGACTGGACAATTTATACTCTACAAGGAGTTAAGGCTGCCATTTGTGGTATCAAGGTTGACTGATTGATGACTCGGCCTAGTGTCAATTCGATCAGTAAAGATGTGGGCACACCGGTACCACTTGCTTCTTCCTCTGCCTTACTCCATTATCTTTGGTAAGTCACTTAGCTCTCCTCAATTTTCCTACCTATAAAACAGAAAGCTACCAATAGCACTGGGGACTCAGCAAGTACACCATGGTAAATAAGTTAACTAGGAGGTCCTATATTTATCTCTTACCACCTGAAACAAACAAAAGGCAACAAGAAAACAAAACCCCTACAATCTCAAGTCCTACCAGACTGCCTCATGCATAGTCTTGAGAAGGTCATAGCCATGAATGTCCTTCTCGATGCTTGTACCAATAACTACACACAACTCCCTCTCTTGTGTTTTAATAAAGATACTTGTGCTCTCTTCCAAGGCTCAAAGGAATCACTTATCCTCTAGAACAATTCTCTAACAAGGATGCCAGAGCCCCCTTTACATAGTTAAAAAGGCTTTAAGAAAGCTTTCCCTTGTGTGCATTTTATCTATTATTATTAGGTATTAAAAGTGAAAAAAGTAAGTACTATTCATTTACTAAGAACCTAAGTTGTTTTTTTGTTTGGTTTTGTTTGGTTTTTCGTGACAGGGTTTCTCTGTGGCTTTGTAGGCTGTCCTGGAACTAGCTCTTGTAGACCAGGCTGGTCTCGAACTCAGGCTGTCATAGCTCTTGTAGACCAGGCTGGTCTCGAACTCACAGAGATCCACCTGCCTCTGCCTCCCAAGTGCTGGAATTAAAGGCATGCACCACCACTGCCGGTGAACCTAAGTATTTGGAAGAAGAGGAAGGAAGAAGAGGAGGAAGTAGAGGAGAAAGAAGAAAGCTACAACCCTCCAAAGCAAACCAAAGAACAAAAATTGATATGATACTCCTTGACCCCATGCCATGAGGCTGGGAGGGGCAGAACTCAATGAATTGCACCCCGGGCTTTCTAGCCCAGGAGAGGACTCCCACCAATACCTCTGTACCAAACTGAAGTCCACCTGTAGCTTAGGGCACTACTATGTTCTCTTTATGATGAGGAAGCATGGTTCTGTCCAGGGTCTAAGCGGGACAAGGAGACACACACACGGGTCAGGGGCAGTCTGCCCTGGGATTGGAGAAGAAAACACTGGCCTACCCGGCACCTT